GCTGCTCAGCTCGGGCTGGACTCGAACCGCTGTTGCTCAGAGCTCAAACTCTTGAGCGAGCTCTTAACCAACTGAGCCACTCGGCCGGCCCACACATTTTTTTTCTTAGTAGTAGGAATGTGTTCACACTGAGGTATTCACATGTTCTAGTTCAGTCTCCCCTTTTAACAAAAGGGCCCATGTTTATATTTCAACTAGCCCAGGTTCAGGGTTTGGTATGTGCATGCTTGTGGAACAAGAAGCTAACTGACTCACAAAGTATCAAGTTCTTGGACTTGGCACTCCACTTTCGTGTTTGTTGAGTGGCCTGAGACCCTGTAGCTCCCTCCAGTCATGAGGCTAAAGCCTAAGGATAATTTAGCTAATTCTTGTTGCTAGCCATTCTTTTCTGGACCACACTTAACTGTCACTGTTGTCTTATGTAGGTTGCTATTGCTGGGGCCCCAGTCACTCTGTGGATCTTCTATGATACAGGCTACACGGAACGTTATATGGGTCACCCTGACCAAAATGAACAGGGCTACTACTTAGGATCTGTGGCCATGCAAGCAGAAAAGTTCCCCTCTGAGTAAGTTCAAGCTTTAAAATTAAGATTATAAATTTAAAATTATATTTCAAAAAATTGTCTTTAATAATAATGAAAACTACAAATACTATAACCAAGACTTATAAAATACTGAATGGCATGACTGTTTCTCAAAGCTGAATTATAAGGCCAGTTCATACTGATGTTTTTTTACAAGTTATATTTGAAGCAATTGCTTGTGCTGAAAGAAGTTTTAAGTGCACAACTATTTATGGTAGAAAAAATTCTCTTTCTGCATTATTTTACAAACTTTTTTTTTTTTTTTTACTTTCTAGGGACATACCATAGTTACTGATGTGTGCTAATATTGTAATGGGAAATTGAACACACGATCTTTTTTTTTTTTTTTTTCATACATGTAGCATCTGGTTAACATATTGCAAATTTAATATTGAAAATGTTGAAACCTTACTCTAACATTACAGTATAAGGAAGTTAACATAGTTAACTGTGATTAGTTTAAAGGAAGGAGTTAAGTAGTTTTTCCAAATCCTCTATTTTGCTTAATCCTCTGATACTTCCATTTCTCCAGACCAAATCGTTTACTGCTCTTACATGGATTCTTGGATGAGAATGTCCATTTTGCACACACCAGTATATTGCTGAGTTTTTTAGTGAGGGCTGGAAAGCCATATGATTTACAGGTGAGTTTTTCTACATTTTCTAAATAAATTAAATAGTGATTAAGTGATTGATTACTTTGAAATATAATAAACTGGAGTAAGGCTGAATTTTCAGCTGTGGCCATTCTTTGCTTAAGAGAACTAAAGTAATAGGCATAGTTAGTAGTGCCTCTAGTTGGATATTAAGATTCTGTTGAAGTCAGACTGAAAACTGGCTTATTGGATTACATGACTCCTATATCTGCTTTCAGTTTATAATCATGGAAAAGATGACAGGAGTCCATTTACTATCCTCCTTTGCCTTTCTTGGCTTGGAAGGGTGAGGAAATCTTACTTGATTTCATCATTGTAAAAGGATTTTTAGGACCTGATTACATGGTCTTTTAATTTTATTTTATATTGACATCAAAGCAGAAACCAGCAAGTTACCTACCTCTGTTGCTCCGTTACTCAAATAAAAAGATTTTAAGATAAATCTTCCTCCTTTCTACTTCTTACATAAATTATATGCTCATAAAAAATGAAAAATATTACTTTTTCATTTTTTATGTTTCAGTTGATATTTATGTAGGTAAGTTATGAGATATTTATCTATAGCAGCAGTTACCGAGCATTTTGGTCTCAGGACCCCTTTACACACCAAAGGGTTTTTACATACCAGAGAGCTTTTGTTTATGTGGGTTATGTTTATCGATATTTCTTGTATAAGATATTAAAACTAAGAAAAATTTTAAATATTTATTTAAAAATAATAATAATAAACTATTACATGTTAACAAAAACCACATTTTTTTTATGGGAGGGGGGTATATTTTCCAAAACAAAACCAAAGACATTTATTGAAAAAAGTAGCATTGCTTTTACATTTTTGTACATCTAATGTCTAGCTTAATAAGGAAGACACCTGGATTCACAGCTACTTCCACATGCAATATGTTGTGAAATGTTGTTTTGGCTAAAGTATATGAAGAAAATTTGACCTCACAGAATATGTAGCTAAGAAATGGAAGGGATATTTTAGCCTTTTCAGATAATTGTGGATATTCTTCTTTGACAAATGGTAGTTTCATAAAGGTTATTTTTTGTGTTGGAACCTGAAGCCATATCTTCATACTCTGTTGCATTAAAGCCTTTTAGATCTTGTATTTCAACTGGATCTTTTATTATTATTGTTATTATTATTATTATTATTATTATTACTTTCAGGTGTACAAAACAATGCAATAGTTATCCTTTTCACCCCTCCCCCATCCACTGCCCTCCCACCCCCGATATCATACATATCTATTACAATTCCATCGACTCCGTTCCCACACTATACTCCACATCCCATGACTATATATGTATTAAATTATAATTGACATATAATATTATTCAGTAGCAGCTTCAGATATACAGTGCGGTGGTCAGGCTTCTACACCGTCCATGGAGTGGTCTCCTTAACACGACATGAGACCATCTGGTCCCCTAAAAAATATTTACAACATTATTGATTATATTCCCTAAACTCTCTTTTCTATCCCTGAAGCAGTATTGTAGTTACCAATTTATGTTGTCTCGTCCCTTCCCCTTCTCCCTCATCCCCACCCCCGTCCCATTTAGCAATCATCAGTTTTTCCTCTGTGTCTCTGAGACTATTTCTGTTTACGTTACTCATTTATTCAGTTCTTTAGATTCCACCTATAAGTGAGATCTTATGGCATTTGTCTTTCTCTGACTGACTTATTTCACTTAGCATAATGTTCTCTAGGTCCATTCATATCATTGCAAATGGTACAATTTCCTCCTTCTTTATAGCTGAGTAATACTCCATTGTGTATATGTACCATAGTTTCTTAATCCAGTCGTCTACCGATGGGCATTTCGGTTGTTTCCAAGTCATGGCTATTGTAAATTGCACTGCAATGAACATAGGGGTGCATATATTTTTTTCAAATTAAGTGTCTTGGGTTTTTCTGAAAAATACCAAAGAATGGAATTGCTGGGTCATAAGGTAGTTCCAATTCAAATGGATCTTTTACCCATGCATTGGTCATCTGGAAAATACTGGTTCACTGTGTTATACTAATCTTCTAAATATTGACTCATTTCATATAGTATTTTTTAAATCACATGAATATTACCACTGATCTTATCAGAAAAGTCTCTAAGTTCATATTGGGAAGCTCATGAGCTAGTAGTGGTAGATGCAACTTTTCCAGAATTATAATTTTCACTTAAAAGTTCAAAATTTATCATTGGCAACAAACACTGCCCATGTCATTCTTGAAGTGACCAGCTCATTTCATTCATTTTTGAGAAAATGTTGGCCAGATACCCACGTCTGAATCACCATAGTTGTCAGTCATTCTTTCAAGTTAAAAATGAAGTTCCATTTAAAATGTGTGAGTTCAACTCGCAACTCAGTTGTACAAGTGCTTTTCCTTGCGATATCGTGTAGAAGTGCACTGTGCATTCTTTCCATTTCATCACCACAGAATATTAAAAAGACATCTACTCCAGAGTTGCAATTTAATGAAATTAATGCTAATTTTTACTGCTACTTAAGTGAAATTGTCATTTTCTTTTTTTACTGCAAGTATATGGTGGTGAAGAATACTGTGACTTCTAGTACAAGTAATGGCCATGAGTCATTGTCTTGATTCATGATAAAGCACCAGCACTATTACCCACCATTGCCTTTACATTATCAGTGCAAATGCCAACACAGTGAACAAAGGCAAATAATGTCTTGGTATTGTTCTGAAAGTAGTTTGAACTTGTGTATCCCTTGAAAGGGTTTCCAAAGATCCCAGAAGTCTGCAGAGCACACTTGGAAAACCACTATTCTACAGATAAATTATTCTGTAAGCCTAGTGCTATATAGGGAAGTATAAAAAGAGGAAGGGGGCCTTTAGATAGGATGTATGTGTGTAATATCTGGTGGAGGGAGCATACTCCATGTTACTATCCTGTTAAAAATCTCTGGAAAGCTTTGGAAGGAGATGTATTATTAAATTCTTATTTTTTGTATTTTGATTCTTTTGTTGTTAAGATCTATCCTCAGGAGAGACACAGCATAAGAGTTCCTGAATCTGGAGAACATTATGAACTGCATCTTTTGCACTACCTTCAAGAAAACCTTGGATCACGTATTGCTGCTCTGAAAGTGATATAATTTTGACCTGTGTAGAACTCTGGTATACACTGGCTGTTTAACCAAATGAGGAGGTTTAATCAATAGGGAACATAGAATTGATCATCACATTTTGGTACCTGCCACATAACATCTACTTCTGAAAGTATGTTTGGTGCCATGCAGGCATCTACAGCTTGTGGATAGTAATCTAATACCTTAACCATACCCATGCAGAATTTGAATGACACATTTATTTCTAAGGGACCCAGCAAAACCTTGAGTAATTCTCAAGGTTTTGCTGGGTCCCTTAGAAATATGTGATTAGCATATAAGACATTTATTAGCACCATGTATCCATACTACCTTATTTTCTCTTTTTAACAGCATTATAAACCTCATGGACTTAATTAGTATATTTTTACAGTATACTTCTGAGTTTGTTAAATTATGATGATATTAGTGATTGGTTTGGTTCAATTCCAGAATCTCTGACTAGTTACAGATTTGATAGCACTTAAATGTAATTGAATAGCTTATGCTTCATTGCTTGGGATGTATCCAGCATGTTATGAACTAATCTATATTAAATCTATGACTTAACCAGTCATTAATGATTTTCTAAGGAAAACTTAGTGGCCTCCTAAAGACACTTATTTTGTTTCATTCAGGCTCTGACCAGTTTTTAGCCAATTTAAACTGTATCTAGTATAAATAGTTCTCTTTGATGATATGACAGAGTGGATTTTTCCTTTTACATAAAGGCAAGTAACTGTATATGTAGCATGGGTTTAATTAGTCTTATAATATTGATAATTACAGGCAGAAAAATTTTAATCAAATGATTAGAGCTTAAATATTTGCAGGCAATTTCTTTTCCTTTGGGAAAAGGAAAAAGTACACATTCACTTGTATTCTTCAGAAAATTTAGTGATGCCAGTTTTCACTGGGTATTTCCTTATTAAAATGTTCCAGGGTTTTAGGGAGATGGAAGGGAATCTGGGAAGGGTGGGGGAGACCTGGGTGCAGAGAATGACAGGGAGAGGAGAAGGCAAGGGTATGCTTAAGAAGTAAGCAGAAGTATAATTTGACCAAAAAATACTCATGAAAAAGTTGGGAAAGTGAAATTCAAACTCATAGAATGTTAGTTAAGGAAATCAGAATTAAGAAATTATTCTCTTCACAACACAGTTATAGACTAATGTTATTCAGGGGAGGAAAAGTTCCTTAAGAGTTACTTTTATAATTCTAAATTCTAATTTTTTGTTACTTTCTTAATTTTGGAAACCTTAATCCTTTATCCTTTTTAAATTATTTGAGCATAATTTAGATACTGTGAGCTTAAAATAAAGAGGTTTTCAGACAACCTCTTTACCATAAACTGACCCTGACAGGCCATGTCTCTTTTTCAGTGTTCAAAGCCTATAAGCAGTTTCTTGAGTGGCTATGACATTTTCCTGGGTTAGCCCTAGCTCTTGACTAAGGGAGCTCATAGACTTTCAGGTGCTAATTGGGATCTGTCCCCTTAGAGTCCTGCGGTGCTAGATGGGTCACATTGGAGCCAGTGGCGGAGGAGGCATCTATGAGTTTGACCCTTTTTATCACAAGCCTCAGTGTTTGAAAAGTTGTTACTAGTACTTTTAAACAACGCTCCAAGAATAATTGCTTTTTCTTTCTCACCACTACACAGAGAGTGGATTTCTCCCATAGAGAGCACAGCCTCCATTAGCAAGGGTGGTGACAGCATCAGAGGTGAACTTCATCACTGAGGGCCAGGTGGGATATGGGGGAAGTCCAGAAATGGCAGGGCAACCCGGTGGTTCTGTCCTTGGAAAGGGGATTGGGTTTGGGTTTGTGTATTTATACTGTATAATAGGTGCCACACTTTTCCCTTTTGTCTGTGTATGTATTGATTTTGTTTATGATATTTTCCCATGCCGTGATTTGTTTATATTTTTTCAATGTTAAATTAAATTGATTTGGGTAACTTTTCTTCCCCAGGAAAATATTTTCCCCCATGACTTAAAAAGGTGGCTTTTGTGGACTAGCTGGCCTCCAAGGTTCTATCCTTATATAATAAGCAAAGTAAAAATGGTATGAACAATGGCTTTTAGACAGCTACTCATTTGAAACCTCTTGCCCGTTTTAAGGCTCTTTCTTCAAAATGACTTCTCTTATTTTCCCAAAACAAACCTTAAAGAACCTTATATACTCTTGAATTCACAGGTTTTCCTTTTGCATCTTGCCTTCTCCTTTCCTCCTATCATTAAGGAATGCTTCTGTTATCACTCCCAGTCATTTAAATGCCATTCTCCACCTTTAGGGGGAAAAAATACCTGACTGAATTCCCTTGTAGAAAGACAGCTTGATTGAATTTGATTTTTTAAACCGATGTGGAAAACATCATAATCAATTCAAGCAATCAATAGAAATCTTGCTAAATCTCTTGGTACCTTGTCAATGGGTAACAAGTAACAACTTAAAAGACAGGAATATATAAAAGTAGTGGCGGTTTTGGTGAGAGCCAAAAAGCACTAGGTTAAACATCAAATAGGGGTTTTGTAGGCTTGATAAATGGGTACACTTGATCAACCATCAACAGATAGAGTTGCTTGTACATTGTTGAGCAGTGGGACTCAAAGTCTAAGATTCATCTGGGATGCTTACTAAAAGAAATGAGGTCTTGAACCGCACTCGTAGAAATTTGGATTCAGTTGATTTGGGTGGAGACCAGGAATCAGCATTTCCAACAGGTTTTCCAGGTGATTCTAAAGCAAGTCCTTTGTGTGCCACTTGAAGAAACTCTTCCATAGAGAATGGAGTTGGAGTAAGAAAATAATAGGTGATTTTTACACTGGACTGCTTTACATGAACCTAAAACAGTAGTCAAGACAGCTGCTCATCTATAACTATGGTCCCTTCTCACTCTGAAAGCAGAAACTATCTTTAAGTGTATATCCCTTTTGTCTGGAGATTCTTTTTGGAATGAAGGTTTTTCCCTCTATGCCATTCCTGGCTAGTTTCCAAAGCCTCATGCAAGAGGATGAAGTCACAAAGCATGTGTTACTTTTTAAAACAATGAGATACAGACATCGATGCTTACTTTTTTTTAACTACTTGTTTTATTTCTTACAGAAGGTTGGTATCACGCCTCTCTGTAACATCGTTCTCTCTTTAGGTGGAATGATTCCTATAAGATCTCTCATTATTATAGAATCATACATTTTTAAGCTATTATATCTTGGATATAATCTAATGTTCTCATTTGTTAGAGGAGGAACCTATATATTAGAGAGAGAAGGAAATATACCCATGGCCACACAGCCAGTTAGTGTTCAGTTGGTACTAGACTCCATCCAGATGTCCTGACTCATGGTAGTTAAATGATATGTAGAAAAGGCAAATTTTTAAAAAGTATTTATTAATATATTCCTATGAAACATTTTGAATATAACATAAAATGGTTAATTTTTCCATTCTAAAGTAAATGCTAAGCATGCTTATTAATGAAGCAGTACTTCTAATTAGTATATGACATTCTGAAGTTAATTAAAATTGTTATACTAAATATGTCTTTCCTTGGTGTAGTGTGGAGATTTGAGGATTGGGATATAGAGTAGTGCTTGCTTAAGCCTGGGAGCCCAATTCATAGCTATTTGAAGTAAGAAAAGAGACATGGCCCTATCTAAACTAAGACATGTAAGGTGAGCGTCCATTCCCAGCAGACATAAAGGAATAAGGAAACTTCCCTGACTTCACCCTCCCAGCCCCTCCCAACCTCATCTATCCATCTCGCAGCCTAAAATATGGAGAAGTGTTAGTGCAAGGTGCTGGTTCCTGCTTTTCTTACTTTGTCAAGAGACAGCTCTAGGTAATCATTTCAGAAGTCCCTCACAGACAGAAAAAGTAGTGTTTGTATGTTTGTTTTTAAATAACCCAAATACAAATTTATGTTGTATTCAGCACAATTGGAGTTCAGGTCTTTAATTTTAGAACATAAAGTGCCTGCTGTTTTAAGCATTGACTTGTATAAAAAGAATTGCATGTCTCACACCAGTAAGTTTATGGGTTTTCTCATTTTCAGCTACATAGCTTTTAATCATGTAAAGCGAAACATTAGTTTTGTTGCGTTTTATTACAGGTTCTTTGTTGCAATAAAGATGCTGCTAAAATTAATTGATGTAAGTGTTCCTTTTTCCCCTATTCCCCATTTATACAGTCTTCCCTTGACTAGTGGCAAGGGTGCCATGATTAATATACATGAAAAAGGTCGTGCTTGCAACGGAGAAGGGAGACTGCAAGGTGATTACATGGGGTTTCTAGTACTATAAACACTAACCAAAAATGCATCCAAACCCAAAGGGAGGTGTGCAGAGATCGCTTTGTACCTGCAAGGAGTTCCCAACACCCAGCAGTTGGTACTGCAAGGGCAGGTGGTGCATGGAGCTAATGATTAGCATAGCTTCCCTGAGCAACTGGGAGTTTCTTGGGAATGCCACTTGGAGTGGATAGTGGTTTCTGCTTGTTACCCAGGAAATTTCAAGGGAGTTCATTACAACACTTTTAAGAGGTTTCTTCGACAATTCTCGTGTCTTGAAGCTGTACTAGAAAAAGGGTAGGGGGAAAGAAGCAGATGAACTCTAAAATTAGTATATTTGAGTTCATATGATAATCTTTCCAAAACAGACACTCAATCTGGATTCTATAACTCTGAAGTTCTGTGCAAAACATTGCATGAATGTGTGGTGGTGCATCCTGGGGAGAAGGGCTTTGGCTTGATCAGATTTTCAAAGGGATAATGATCTAAAAAAGAACAACTGCTGTATTATGTATTAGGGTCTTAAACTTTTCATTTGTATACAGAAATTATTTGGAATAAAAATGAGCTTTAACATGGTAATTCTGTAGAGCAGTGCTTCCTAACCTTTTCACCTCATGACAAAAAAAGACATTTGTATGACACTGGGATAACCTGATGTACCCTGAGGGGGTTAACCTGTTGAGGCTGTTTGCAGCCAGAAGTGACCAGCCAGGCCCACCCAAGCTCTAAAGAGATTAATATTTCAGAATACCTACAATCTATTTATGGCTCTTTTTTTTTTTTAAGATTTTTATTGGGGAATTGGGGGGATGGGAACAGTGCTGGGGAATTGGGGGAAGGGGAACAGACACGTTGCTGTCGTTTTGTTCTTCAGTCTAGTGGAGGACGTTGCTTCACTGGCCCAAGTTGGCACCATCATTGCGCCCTTCCCGGGCGAGGCAGATCAGTCGCCGGCTTCTGGAAGGCCGCTCACGCTGGCTGCTGGCTACACACGGTAGCTCATGGCAACCCACTGCCACAGGGGCTGCAGCCTACGCCACCGGCAACTCATGGCTTCCCAGCTCCAGGTTGAGCTGTTGTTCAGCATCTTAGCTGTGGAGGGCAGTGTCACTGGCCCTCATATGTGGGATCCGAACCGGGGCCCTCTGGCTTCCCAAGCCAGTTCTTAATCATCGCGCCACTCAGCCGGCCCTATTTATGGCTCTTTGATTGGGACACTTATAGACTACCTTGGTCTCTTTAATTCAGCCTGGATTTATTGCTAATCAAAAGTCAGCTTTCGACCTGATCATAAGCATCCTGCAGAGACTGCTGAGGTGCAGACTGGCTCTAGGATTCCAGTGCTCCAGAGTCAGAGCAAGTGCTATGGTTTAAAGACCTTGGACTTGCCTTGGGCCTAACCTCACCCATTGGTGGTTATGAGGAAACTGATCCCTTGGTGCTTTGCAGGGGGAGCAGAATTGAAACAGCTGCAGTATGAGAATCCCATAACCATAATTTTATTTTGGGCTTGGAGTGATTTGGGGAATTACCAGGATTTAAATGTTCATCAGCCTAGCCCTGTCCACAGATCTGGTGCCCTGGCCCTGCCTCCCTGGAAGAGATTGCATTCCCATTGAAATGGATTATATGGGATTCAGCTCTAACACAGGCAATGAGATTGAGTTTGCTGTGTGCTCCTTACTGAAAGATGCTCTCTAAATTGGCTCCCAGATTTGAGTTCTTGAAATAGAAGTTTGGGGAAGCAATTAGCCAGGATGGTTGTCCTTAGCCAGTTCCAGGAATTTTCTCCACCCTTTCGGATCTTTACTGGAAAAGCACCCTACAGAAGTGGTATAGTTTATTTTTAACATTCTACTCCACAGGTGACCATTCTTTGCAGGGAAGGCCTCTGGCCAGATAGGTTCTAGAGACCACTCTGCCCTTCTATAAAGTGAATCCTTCACGTTGGCTTGGTTTCTGGCCATATATGTGGTCATAGTTGCCTACCTAAGCATCACGTGAATGCTACTGTCTGTAGTTCAGTTGGGCACTTGATGTGTTGCCTTGACCCGTAATTGCTTTGCATTATAGCAACTCCCCATGCCTCCTCATTCCTGTTGCTCTTCCTGCCTCAGCCTAGGGCCTATAATGTCATGCTGGGTAACAGCAGCACCTCTCCAACTAGCCTGAGGTGGAAGTGAAGATTAAGAATTCCAAATGACTTCAAAGAAGCAGTTCTCAATTTTTCATCCACCAAATATTTAGTAGCATCCATGTGCCAGGCCTGTGAGAAAACAAAGATGGATGAAGAGAACACAGCCCTTGCTCTCAGTAGGTTCTCAGGACCAACTTCATCTCCCGCCTCACTAGCACACCCGGTAGGACACAGCCACTTTTTTAAAGGCACGATAAATTCTCTTTCCCTAAATTGTGTCTGACCTTCAAGCCTGTGTCACCCGACCTGACCTCCCCTCGCTTTCCCTCGCCTGGGCTCTTCACTCACCCACAGGCATCCTGAGGGTTTCCTCTTTCAATTAGTAGAACACATGCTAATCCCACCTGAGACAGGAGACATGGCAAGTGGTACCAACACTAGCTTTGGAGCCTGGCTTCTACACTTGCCTCTGTTACTTGCTAGCTTTATGGGCCTGGGCATGTTTACATAACATTCTGACCCTCAGTTTCCTTAGGTGTGAAGTAGGAATAATAACAACCCTCCTCAGTGGATTGTTGTAAGGATTAAGTTCATTTATTATACTATAAAGGCTTTGGTGCCTGGCATGCAATAAAAGTACTCAATAAAAGTTATCTCAGATTTAGCACTTAATTTTATACCATACTGTTTGCCCCTGGTTTTGTTTCTCCATTTAAATTACAGACTGAGTAGGCATTGTATTACACTTGGTTAATTCTCCCCATCATACCTACTACAGAGTCAGACATGTAGGAATCCCTTATCAGGTACTTGAGTACCAAAAAATTTTCAAATGAAAAAAATTTTTGACCTCCCTTATTTAGGGTTGTCTGACTGAGATTACAGGTTCCTAGGTACCTGTCTACCAATTCATTTGTAAGACTGCAAAAGAAACCAAATTTGCCCTAATTTAAGCTTTTAGGACGACTCCTTTGAAATGTTGAAATTTTTATTCTTTGTCTTCCACAGAGGCTTTAGGCCAGGAGGAGTGGTGCTTCTCAGCCCTGATTTCTATCACAACTGCCTGGGGAGCTTTTAAATACACTGATGTCCATATCCCTCCTGGGATCAATTAATCAGCATGGGGGTTGGGAAGTAGGTCTGCCATCTTTTATTTATTTATTTTTTTAATATAAGCTCCCTAGGTGATCTTAATGTGCAGCCAGAGTAAAGAGCTTGAGCGGTGGAGCAACGGAAGACTGTATTTATGGAGTGTTAGAACCAAAACAGACTTAGATATCATCTCATCTGCTGCTTTACTTTATGAATGAGAAGCTGAGGCCAGAATCCGGAAGTGATTATGCCACAGCCATTCCAGCTGCCTAAAGAGAGTCCAAGCTTGAGCCCAGGTCTTCTAGCTTCCCAGAGCAATGTCCTCCCAAACCAGAGTTCAGCAAAAGAATCTGCCAAAGTAAGGGAGCCGAGGCTGCTGCCAGGTAACCACAGAGTTCTTACTTCACCCAGAGCAGCTCAGCTTTTTACTTCTATATGATTGGGGACACATGTTCTGCAGCTTCAAAAAAGAGGTCAGAAATCAGTGACCACTCCCATCATTTTACAAATGGGGAAACAGGCCTAGAGAAGACTGCAAACCCACTGAGCTGTCAAGTGGCAGAGCTGGTATCAAAAGTCAGGCTGAGGACACTCCCTGAGGTACAGGCAGGTAAGCTGACTTCCCCACAGGCACAAGACTAGTTGGTAGCTGAACAGAGACACTGGAATGCAGACACTAGAATAACTACTAAATTTTCTGAAGTCTAAGATGTTGCCATTTGTAAGATCCTGAGATCAGAAATATAAAAATGTGAATAAGAACATACGTTAGAATCAAGGAAATACGGTATTTGCCTGAAATCCGAGTTCCTTCAGGGACTGAGTTCATGCTGAGAAAGCATGTACTGGGTGGGTCTTGGATAGGACTCTCAATGAACTTGCCCAGAGAAAGAAGGGGGAGCATGGGAAAGACTAGAGAATTTCGAATCTGATAGACTTGGGTTCAAGTCCAGCAGATGTAATCTTGATCAAGCCCTTTACTCCTCTAACCTTGGACTCTAAAGCGGCGTATTAATACTTCCTTCACAGAGTTGTGGTGAGGTCAAAGTGCCGAACACAGACCTGGCATAGGATAGGGGCTTGGAAATGATTTATGAAGTTCAAGTTGGCACTCCTGCCGTGGAACTGACCCCACCCCCTCGAAGAAGTGCTGGGCCAGCAGGAGCGGTCTGTTCTCCAGGACCTGAGCTGTCAGGCCCAAGTCCTGGGGAGAAGATAAATGCTGGGTGGGAAGAAGAACATGACCCACCCCAGGGATCTTGGGAGAACAGCAGGTTCTGGGACATGAGCAAGGGAGGGTGGGTACAGAAGCCTCCACCGGGGGGCGACTGGACTCTGCGTTGGCTTCGGATACTTCGCACCTGCCTGACCAAGGGCTGATCTTCCAGGATTGCACATCGGAATAAAGGGGTCATTAACTGTAAGGCCCTTGTTAGGCATAATGTTTTACCTGTGAACAGGAGATGCATTTCCCTCTGAATACCAACTGCCAACATTTGTGTGGTCAGTGTCCCATTTCTTACAGAATATTTCCTCATTACAGAATCGTGTTCAATTTGCTCTTTGCTATAAGCTAGGAAACATGGGTTAGGGAGTATTATTGTTCCTCCTACATTCCCCCCACCC